CGATAGAGCTGTCGGTTGTCTAGTCATGACAACAAATGAGTCAACGCTGTTGCCTCCGGTCGAAATAGGGCTATTGCTCTGAGTCAAGTCGGAAACACTACGCCTACTGAAATGCATGTAGTAAGCATTTAAGTATTTTGTAAAACAAGCATCCACCACCAATGATACTGCTGCCGCATCCCAGCGTGACTCACGGAGGGACTGAGATCTACTGTTAGTGGATCTGCATCCGCCTGTCGCCTCGAACTAGCCCACTCGTGGATAGCTTATGGGTATGTGGAGAAGGAATGTAGAACGAAACCGGAGTCTCTTGATGCAGAACAGGACATACGTTTGCATATCGCGGACCCCCAAAAATGCAGTCTGCAGACACAAACATTTATTTATAGAAAACAAACATGCTGACACTTGAAATAGGACGCAAACTGTCATTTCTTTGACTAAAATAAAATATGAAGATAAATTTGAGGTTGAAAACATGATGTGGGCATAATGACATACAGTATATTACTTAAGTACTCACGAATAAGGGAATTCTATTTCGCCAGGGCTTCTGCCTGTATTGTAATGCAATCAAATGCCAATAGCAGAGTAACCGTTCGAAAAATTCATTAAGAACACAGAGGAAGTCCGCTGGGCGGCTTAGTGCCTGGGTAAAACGGTAACTTACACGAACGAGCGGAGATCAGGTTTACGCTCATATATACTCTACTCCATTTCGCTGCTTTATTAACCTAACCAACAAGTTCTGAGGTTTCGGTATTCGATCAACCAGTCAGTATTTTTAATTTTAAGGTAACGTATTCCCGTTTTTTTTATACTAATCCTCAGGAAATGTACAACTGTAGTACTGCGACTGGTACACATTATACGGTAACTCATGTAAAATCTACGATTAGTTTCAGCAATAGACTTCTACTAAAGCTGAAACCTACAAATATGGTGCGGTGACTACTAAACATTCTAGATGTTTTCAAAACACTTACTCTGCTCTGACATTGATCATATCCCCGGCATGGGTGAAGCTGGGGGTGGAGTTGGCTGGAAGTCAGGTCTACATGTTCCTAGAAGCTGCAGCCGAAAGGAAAGAAAAGGAAGGCAAATAACACCTAAACAAAAAACGGCGTGATGTTTTAGCGCATTCAATACAGCCTCCAACCGAACTTGCTTGGCGGCAAAAGTGTTCAAGAAAGTCGGGAAAATAAAAGGTCATTCCCACCTCGCAGAGTATGCGCGTTGCTTCCTCCTTTTCAAGTATCGTGGCCATCTTAATGTAGGCCTCAAGGATAGTTCTTTTGCACTAAACATTAAAGAAACAGTAATAACATAGGGAAGACATAAGTGACAGCACATACACAAGACAGTTCGACTGCCCTGCGATATTGGTGACCCCGACGTGATCTGATCTCGCAACGTCTTATCTGGTCTCCTGTTCCTGAGATTAAGGTGACTTTCCGACGTGCCCCTGCGATCATGGTGACTTCCCGACATGTTCCTACAGTATTGGTGACTTTCCGACGAAACCCTGTGATAATGAAGATTGTCCGGTGTGATCAGCTCTTGGAACTTCTGATGTGTCTGGGCTCAATTGCCATCAAACCTTCCTCGACTGCAACTAAATTTCTCCTGTGTCATTTCATGTGACCACTGCTGTGTATACCCGCACGTGCGCTTCCGCAAGTTCGCGCAAGGCGTTTAGGGTCGCGGATGGGCGTTCACCCCATTCTATGTCTTTCGGCCAATGACGTTTAAGCCCCACCATAAAGCCACTTGGTTAAGATGACTCACATTCAAGACTATTTCCTTGTCCTCAGCACACTTCCTGCTTACGGACAG